CTACATTTAATGAAGTGAAAACAATCAGTCTACGGAGGAAATCACCGGTTAGGCAGTCTGAAAATTGTGTATAAATTGCCAATCCGTGAAGCCAATGACTACTAGTAGCAGTCAGGTAGTGATGTGTTTGCCCATTACTTAATGTCCTCGAGGTTCCAACGAGAAATAAGTTCAGTTTTCGGTGGTTGGGTATACGCAACACATCCCAACTACCTCAACTGATGGAGACTCACCACTTCACCAATTGGTCTGTCATCCTTACCTAGCGCCCTTATCCTAACATTAGCGTTGCTTACTCAGTGTTCCCAGGATATACGAGCAATGCTTCGAAGACACCTCCTCCTCGGTCAGCAGAGAGATATCTCGTCTAAGCCGTAAGTGACGCAAGTTGGCAAGAGCCAATCGAGCCTTCTGTATCCGCGCTGACATCTCGTATGATACCAGGCCATCAGCACTGATGAGGCTCGCAAGATAAATCAAGCGGTCAACACGCTCAACTACTCCACTCTCTAACACTAGTTCAGGAGCTGACACAAGCCAATCCCGAAGCAACCTGCCGAAGTCTGAATATTTGGTCTATACATCTACATCCGGGTCTTAAACTAGCCTGATTTTCTGGAGTCTGTTCTTCACAAACTCTGAGTAGGCGTTGAAGTAGCCTGTTATCCTATTTGACACGATGTTCAAACACTGAATGCTCCAACATGTAGTTTAGAACGTGGTTTCAGTAGACAAGGAATAACGCTTCATGTACTCGATTTGTTGGCATTGGCGGTGCGAGATGATAGAGGAATTTGAGAAGGGTTAGTTGTGAAGATAAGCGAGATGTTAGCGGTGAAGTAAGGATTTGATTGTGACCAATTCGGTCTCGTGTGCTGTTACGGGTATGAGGGTAGATGTTACTTCTCGCCTGCCCACATCGTGGAGGGGTATTTATTCTTGAGGGACCTGAAAAAGATGCTGGGTTAGTTACCTGGGAGCGTAACTGCAGAGCCCAAGGGACAACTGCTCGAGGCCGGTTACCTAAGACCATTTTATGAGAAGTTTTTAATGTGTCAGCTTCGCTATTCAAAAGTTCTTACCGACAGAGACGGAAATCCGTGAGGTAGGGTGAGGCGTGACATTTTTAGGGTCGACCTTTTCTAATCCTTCCTTCCTTGTGAGAAGGCAGCGTTGCTGCAGATGCTTGTTGTCAGAGGGAAACACCTTACTGCTGTCATATCCCTCTTCAGTCAGCAGTACGACTTCGCCCTCAGATCTAGAGTTACTGTTTTTAGTATCATCGTTCTCCAATCGACCTGTTTGGCATGGTAGAACCTACAGGAACATTTGTTTCAGCCAATTGTGTCGTCCTGATAGGTGAGCCGGACCACCACCTTAATGCAAGTTGATGTCAATATTCTGCTTATTAATTTTCGGAAAATAGCGATCTGCTAAAAGTACTAATTGGTTTTTCTTTGAGTTATGAATACGTATTGTTATGGATTTTTTACTCAGACAAACTCCTCCATTTTGTCGATATCAGTACATTTTTAAGCTTAGTTAATACATGTATCTTCGGTGTTCACTCGCTTAGCTTTTTGAAAATTGTTGGAAAGCTGATTAATTCTTACACCCAAAGTGTTTTGTTAGTTTTAAAAGCAATTGCCTCAACAAATTTAAATCCCACTTCAAGGATGCCACCTTTGTCAGAAGTTCACGTTTTGACTGTGTGATGCAATAGATTTTGTATACATTTATTTGTCATTTGACTAACATATATACAGTTTGTATTACTGCTCTCTATTCTTTAAATTTCTCTTCTTTAAATAGATTTCTGGTCGTTCCAAAGAAAGTTAATGTACAAACCTACAAAGTCTTCGTTTCCTCATTCACTCTACTTATGATTGTCTTATGGTCTGGTTTTGGTGCTTAATATCTGTTCATCCACCCAGGTCACCTTTCTCGAACCTTCAATTTTGTTATGCAGACTGGAAATTGTTGCGATGACAGTACAGGCAGTGTGGGTGGCGATAGTGGAACAAATACGACAGTCGCCAGTAGCCCCGGTTTCGACCTTCCTGCTACCAAAGGTTCTCCATTATTACCGGAACCTCCAGTGCAAACTTTTACCGCTCAACTCCCAACTTATGACAATTTAACATCGACTTTTAGAAAAGGAATTTGTAAAATGGTTAGTTTTTAATAACTATTTGTAAAAAAATTATAGTAGCTTGTTGTAAAAGGTGTTTAAATTGTGTAATACTAAACTGTAAAGTATGGACAGTGTTGTAAACGCGGCTACGTAAATCTTCAGTCCTAACGGCGTCCAATTCAAATATCACAATACGACCCAAAAGGCTTTTCCAAATCTCCTAGAAATCAGAACGTAACACCGTGGCAGGAAGATGTTTATTGGGTCGTAAACAGAAGAAGTAGGCAGGGGAAACGGAATTATTCAGTCTTCCAGATAGCGCGTATTTATACACTAAGGTCGAATAAGAAAAAGCATCAACGTCCGTGACATTGACAATTTAGGACGACCAATGGAAAAGAATATTTGAATGACATTGACCGTCCAGATGACCAATAAGAGGTAACATTGAAGTATTTGACCCTGACGGTAAGAACGATCAAAATTTCGGCCAATAGAATTCGACCAATAGGATTGCAGTTCTAAAAATAGTATTCTTAGGATATTTGGTGAATATCCTAACAGACAGATCGAAGACGAATATACCACGAACTAAAGTGCTCTGTGGTGATGAACTACATTGCCATATAATCTTGTCTCAATAGTAAATAATTTTCGGGCAGAGTTTTTGGAGGTTTGTGTTTTTACACATTTGAAATCATCAATCAATCATTGTTAGACCACCATTAGAAACCTGGAAGCACTGGACGGCCGTTTCGTCCTGGTATGGGACTCATCAGCAGTGCGCATCCACGACTCCTGTACCTCGCAGGATTCGAACCCGGGACCTTCGGTATTGTGCGCGAACGCCTAACCATCGGATCACTGGGCCGGCATCCAACGGTGTAAATAAATAAATAAAATTGAGTTTGGTACACTATTCTGTGGCATTTGTGAGCCATACAAATCTACTGCATAAACTCACCCAGATATATAGTTGATTAACACGTTTTTTTAGGTTTCGTATAGCACTTTATGTGATCATTAGGTTTTCTGATATTTAATTGTTTTTCAGGAGAATACCATCAGTTCCACGTTGCAAAATACAGCCACTATCAGTGCGTGTGACTCTTCAACCCCTAAATTCGCCAAGGCAGTTTGTGATGCCTCTGTCTCGAACCCATTCTCTAATCCTCCATCTTTTGAGCCACCAAGTCTGCCTTATTCCTATTCAGAAGGCGTAACATATGGTATGCCCAATTACGCCTCGCAATTTACTCCAAATACATCTACACCTTCTTCGTTTCCTTCTCCTGGATCAGCTTTCACAGAACTTCATCCTAAAATCGGTCCATGCAGTAAACCTCATCCTGTCCAACCTTCAGTTATATCATCTTTATCACCCAAGTTGATTAATAGGGAAATTATCCATCCGAACTACCCTAATAGTACTTCCGTTCATAACCAAAATGAGGTGTCACCTTGTAATCCTAAGAACCTGGTTGTCAAGAAGTATTTGTGTCGCACATGTGGTCAAACACATGATCCTATGTCACCTCATATTTATAATTACACACAAACAGTGGATTCTGATCTCTGTTGTACTGTGAGTTTGCTTTTTATTATATGTTTTGTTAGCATTCAGCAGATTTTACGAGGTATTCACAAATTTACAGCTATTATCATTTCAGTTTTCGTTGATGGCACTGTATTCTCTAGAGTTTCATTCGTTTCGACATATGAATTTCAACTAGTGAGTCATAAATTTCTATCCTAATCAACTCACCTAGGCTTGAATAACTAGACAGTATAATCCTTTATCATACTTTGAATTAGGGGTTTAGTTTAAATCTGAAAACATCTTATTTAATCACTTAGTCATTTCAAGTATTTCAAAGCACTGAAGTATTCAAACTCCTAAAAAATTCGTTCTGAATAATTCTTACTGTAAAATGCACATTTATTTTGCTAGTGTTATTTATATGTATCATAGATAATACTAGTTGTAGGGTATTACTAAATAAAATTTTTACTTAATTAAACAAACTGCAAGGATTCATCATATTTTTTTTGGTTTGAGCTCCATAGAAAGCTTTCGACTATTGAGACTCACGTTTTAAGTTTGACTGCCTTTTTTGCTGCCGATTATATTGGCAGCATTAAATCCTTTTTTCTGTTTTTAAATATCCTTGCCTAAACACGTAATTTCATCCTGGTGTACCAGTTCTCCTTTTGTAACCCCTAGAAATCACATCAACATAATTTGCTGGTCTGCTATCAAAAGATCTCATATTTCTGTCGAAATAAAATAAATAGGGATAAATAATTTCAAAGAATCATTTATTTATCTATTGGAAATGGTTAGACCCTCAAAAGTAACATGTAAAAAACTATATTGTAATTTATTATGTATAACTGAATAATGTTTTTCCCTAAAGTCTCATGTTTTATATCCTTCGTTCTTTCCACTCTTCTCTTATTGATTGTCTTTGTTCTTTTCTGACAATAGCCAGCAATTAAAGTATTCTTCCCAGTCATCCATCCATATGGGTCACCGCAGTTATATCTCAGTGGTCCAAATTTACTCAGTTGCCACCTACTGAATCACATATTTGACTCTAATTGTCTAATTTCTGCCTATTTGATCTTATGGCTTAAAATAAATCCGATTCACAATCTGGTATTCAATACTATGTGGTCTCTTAGTTTTAAAAAGAGATTTATTCCTTTTAACTTGTTTCCTTGTGAAATTAATACTTTCTGTTTGTAAATAACGCGTTTCTAACTAATTTATAATTATATTGTTCCAAACCACTAACTGTTTAATATTTAGTATGCTATATTAATATCAGAACAAGTTATTTCTTCACATTTCTATACATTTTAGCTATGTCGACAACCCTTAGTTGATCCATTAGATACTAAATGTGGTCATACATTCTGTTCTCCCTGCCTAAAAAATCATCTAGCTGTTCAAGCACTTTGTCCTGTGGACAAGCAAATCATTAATTATTTACAGTGTCAACAAGCTTCTAATATTGTGAAACGGTTAGTAGCTGTTTGAATCAATTATACTGTTATTTATTTATTTATTTATTACTTTACAATTTCAAATCGATGATTACCAGTAAACTATTTTTATGGATTATCATTTTACGATCAAACGTTAAGATCTTCATTTCCACTGTATTAGTGACGTGGTGATCAGGCTTGCCTATCGTGATGACTCAGTCAAGTGATCGATTTGATCTCGTGTCAGTTATGTTGTAACTGAATGACTGACTGACCCAATCAGGCATTATTGGCTGAAAAAATGTTCCTGTAGGTTCTACCATGCCAAACAGGTCGATTGGAGAACGATGATACTAAAAACAGTAACTCTACGTCTGAGGGCGAAGTCGTACTGCTGACTGAAGAGGGATGTGACAGCAGTAAGGTGTTTCCCTCTAACAACAAGCATCTGCAGCAACGCTGCCTTCTCACAAGGAAGGAAGGGTTAGAAAAGGTCGACCCTAAAAACGTCACGCCTCACCCTACCTCACGGATTTCCGTCTCTGTCGGTAAGAACTTTTGAATAGCGAAGCTGACACATTAAAAACTTCTCATAAAATGGTCTTAGGTAACCGGCCTCGAGCAGTTGTCCCTTGGGCTCTGCAGTTACGCTCCCAGGTAACTAACCCAGCATCTTTTTCAGGTCCCTCAAGAATAAATACCCCTCCACGATGTGGGCAGGCGAGAAATAGCATCTACCCTCATACCCGTAACAGCACACGAGACCAAATTGGTCACAATCAAATCCTTGCTTCACCGCTAACATCTCGCTTATCTTCACAACTAACCCTTCTCAAATTCCTCTATCATCTCGCACCGCCAATGCCAACAAATCGAGTACATGAAGCGTTATTCCTTGTCTACTGAAACCACATTCTAAACTACATGTTGGAGCATTCAGTGTTTGAACATCGTGTCAAATAGGATAACAGGCTACTTCAACGCCTACTCAGAGTTTGTGAAGAACGGACTCCAGAAAATCAGGCTGGTTTAAGACCCGGATGTAGATATATAGACCAAATATTCAGACTTCGGCAGGTTGCTTCGGGATTGGCTTGTGTCAGCTCCTGAACTAGTGTTAGAGAGTGGAGTAGTTGAGCGTGTTGACCGCTTGATTTATCTTGCGAGCCTCATCAGTGCTGATGGCCTGGTATCATACGAGATGTCAGCGCGGATACAGAAGGCTCGATTGGTTTTCGCCAACTTGCGTCACTTACGGCTTAGACGAGATATCTCTTTGCTGACCGAGGAGGAGTTTACTGTACAGCAGTTCGCTCCGTCCAACTATATAGATGCGAAACGTGGCTGGTAAGAGTTGAGGATATTCGTAGGTCACTATTATTCGATCATAGGTGTCTTCGAAGCATTGCTCGTATATCCTGGGAACACTGAGTAAGCAACGCTAGTGTTAGGATAAGGGCGCTAGGTAAGGATGACAGACCAATTGGTGAAGTGGTGAGTCTGCATCTGTTGAGGTAGTTGGGATGTGTTGCGTATGCCCAACCACCGAAAACTGAACTTATTTCTCGTTGGAACTCCGAGGATATTAAGTAATGGGCAAACACATCACTACCTGACTGCTACTAGTAGTCATTGGCTTCACGGATTGGCAATTTATACACAATTTTCAGACTGCCTAACCGGTGATTTCCTCCATAGACTGATTGTTTTCACTTCATTAATTGTAGAATATGTCGCGTAAAGCTTTAAGATAGTAATGATTCAGTACCAGTAATGTTTCGGTGCTAACACAGACTTTGCAAACACTACATAGAATGTATGATTCTGTACCTCACGTTAACAGAGGCTGGCCCAATATAATAATTAACTTTATTCGTCAGCATATACATTAATGTTAAGACAGTATCAACGTCCCATGCTTCAGATCTTAACGGAAAACTGTTTGTTTCAAGTTCCGAAATGTTTACGTTATCCCAAAACATTACCAAATAATTTTCAATATAGTTTAGAATATATTTTTGTTGTTTGTAGATTTTAAAGAGATCGATTTATTCATTGAATATTGAAGTCATGTGTAATTTTGGTTATTTTGTTTTAATGTTTTTATCACGGTTTTCTATCACTGTGCTTGTAAAGAAATTAGGGCTTGTTTACGTGCATTGTGGTTATGGTCATTTTCCGTAATCTTATTCGATCCAAATGTTGTTATGTATATTTTTTATTCTTTGAAGAAACATTTTTTATGGCAACCTATTCATCATCTTTTAGTTCATAGAAGGTCATACGGCTTTACGGGATATATTTTTGTCATAATTTAAATCTATCGTCAACATTGAAAATTTATGTATACATTTATTGCCAATAGTTAATTACATTGTATTTTTCTTTCTTTTAGATTATTAGACAAATTATTAGTTGCTTGTCCTAATTCGCCTAACTGTGATTGTATAGTTTATCGATCAAATCTTGAAGAACATTTACGTGAGTGGTGTGTCGGTGTACATTCATCGAATGCATTAAAATCTACTTCTCGTACTATGCAACCTCATAATCAATTCAAAAATGTCTTTTTATCCACCTTCATTGGAACTGAATCACATGATTCGAATATGTTGCAACCAATTGTATCCGATTCAGCAAAATGTCTCAGGATAGTGGATACACAAACTATGATGAAAAATAATATTTTGACACAGCAACAACAACAACAAAAACAACAAAATATGAACTATCATAATTCAAATAATGAATCTAATTTTAGTCTTGTTTATCCAAATCAATATTTGAAAGAAATTTCACATGTTTATCCATCAGTTACAAGAATAGAAATGGATAAATTAAATAAAACCAACTTTGATCCTAATATACGAACTGTTGAAGATTCATGTATGTTTGTTTACAAGGCTTAGTTTTGAAATGACCATTTAACATTCTCATTTTCCAAAGTATTGATTGTGTATTACTATTAATAGAAAAGCAAACTCATTGACTGAATTAGTTAACATTTCAGTTAGAAATTGAATGTCATTTAATTTTGCAAGTGTCTACACTCAGTACCAATTCAATAATAGGACTAGACATTTGAATCTGGGTTATTTGTGTCATATTAGTCGAATTCTTGAGGTAGTGTCAGAATTGGACGTAGACTTTGAATGGTATTCTAGTTTTATCATCAATTATCTCCCAACTCACTGACAAATTAATCTTGATTGAACAGGTGAACAGTTATTTCTTAGATATAAATATTTGGTATCTATAAATTGTCTTTAACTATTCTTTACTGTATCATAACCCCCCCCCCCCATATCACTACTATTTTCAGTTTATAAAAATGTAAGTTATTTTATTGGTGCCTTATTATAGGTGGTATAAGAATGTTATGGGCTATGAGTTATGCTAATTAGCGAACGTGTTTCAAATTGTTAAAATCAATGAATTCAATGCTTTTTGATAGATGAATGCATTTATTTTCTCTAATGACTGCCCACAAGACCAAAATGTTTGTTCAAACTCCGTCATGATCTGATATCAGAGACAAGACTACAAGCGAAAAGAATAGTTTTCTTATGAACAAAACAATGTACACGTTGTTAACTACATGAAAAACGTTGTTAAAAGTTGATTTAGACATGAACGATTGAACGATACTGATTTTGTAGATCACTCAAATCCCAGTGAAAATATGACTTGAATTCGTAGCTGACGTATCAAGGAACTTGAATAATAAACTCTGATTTATAGTTCATAAATATATATATATATATATATATATATATATATATATATATATATATATATATATATGTTTTTAGGACTGTGAACGATCAGTCTCACTTATCATTTGTCCTGTGGGGATTTCTTCGATATGAACATCAAGCCGCAATCATTATACTTAGAGATGAATATTGGTTAGCAGTAGATAAGTAGATAACATGATGATGTTTGAGGCAAACGGTACTGGGCTGAAATATCAACTCTGCGATGCAGGTGCATCCAGTTGACGAGTCACAAATAGGATTAAATGCGTGTCCTGAATTCCGCTGCTAGCCACTATCCTATTTCTTCAGTATATATTTACCAAAATAACACTGACTCGTTTTTATTCTCATCGATGGGTAACATTCATTGTTGGATTTTCGTTTCTATTATCCAACTTTAAATACTAAATGTAATTATTACTGACATCGTCATTTTTTCAGGGTAATAAAGCTCTTAAACCTGATAACATCTCTTATTCTTGATACAGTTTATGCAATAATTCACGATTATTATAATAGATTATTATTATTATTATTATTATTATTATTATTATTAGTGTCAGTCTTAAATACTTTATCTTTCAGCTGATTCACCAACCATATATGAAGGTGTTCCTGTTTCAATTTTAATTTACCGCCCAACCAATTGTATGGATTTAGGTTTTACATTTGTCGGAGGCATTGATACACCTCTTGTAAGTTGTAATTATTTTTGTCTGTACATGGTATAAATGTTCTCCTTATCCTCCTTTTTTGTGATAGACTTGTTCAAATCTCTTGAAAATCTTCTGAATTACTCATCTTTTTTAATTGATGGGAAGTCGAAAATTATGGACCTAATGGATTATGGATAATTCAGTCTTTAATTTAGACTAATTTTAGATTTAGTTCAATTTGATGAAATCAGTGGATGGAAATGTCTATTTAATCTCATGCAACCTCATACACCAAACAGGAGAAAAATTATGAATACTGTGAAATTTGAAATAAATATGTATTTGTCCAAATTGCCACACATTGTTAGTATAGAGGAAGTCCGAGAAAACCAACGAAGCAATTAGCAATGACGTTGGAAAATAATAATAATTTTCATCGAAAAAGAAACACGGTTAAAGTAATTCAAACGGAATGAATCAAAAGTTTGAAATAAAACTAATATCAAGTTGTAACGGAAGATAGATTTATTGCCAACAGTGCAACCGACTTTGAACCTTATCACCTAAAATATTTAACAGTTGATTGTAATTATTTTCTAACCCCGATTAGGAGGCTCGCGTGAGTTGAAATTGTCTTGGTTCACTCACCCTGGCATTTTTTATTAAGCCTACAGATCTACTAGCTTGTATAACGAACGCGTCGAGGCACATGATCGCCTTGTATGCATAAAATATATTTCAACCAAATCATTCATATAAGTTTTACAATATCAACAACTAATTTATCGTTTTCATCTGATACCTCAAGGTTTAGTCAGCACTCAAGCAGTGTCTCCATTCAAAAATACCTGTGACCAATATGGTTGTTGACCTTTTTGTCTTTGTCTTAGGCTTGCATACTGATTCAAGAAATCTATTTGGATGGACCCGTTGCAACAGATGGACGTCTTAGACCAGGTGATCAGTTGTTAGAGGTAAATGCAGAATGAGTTATTCCCTTTATTACTTATTGTTTGCGAATATTTTAAGGATTTTTGTCATCAGCCCACCGAAATCCATTCATTTTTCTCAGGGTTACATGTTTTACTTGGAAAATATATCGATAAATAAGTTTATTACGTTTTTGTAAAGAGTTTTAGAGATTATTGCTGTCTATAACCTCGCTTTTGGTGACCACCTCAGTAAGTTATATTAATGAAACCCAAACTAATCGGTAATATCTTCAAAGTTGTTAGAAAAAGATATGATATCAATATTTAAGGTCACTGGGTATTTGTCTAAGCGACGTATGAAACTGTACCCTCGTGGTAGTCTTCAGAAATATTCAGTGATCGGTTGATGGAAATTCATACATGTTTTTATTACATCTATGTACTATTGGTAGAAATGTAAAAGATCGGTTATTCAGTTCCAACTTTCGTGCACAAATTCAGCTCTTCAGTCTGTTACAGACTCCGTAAATCGTCGTCAATAAGGTCAAGTTAGTCAATTATAAGGACTCCTGTGTTTCAGACAGACAGACAGACAGATACAACGCAGAACTACTTACGTAAGTACATCAGTTCAGGTTGCCATACCACATCAGCACAGAGACGCAACTGTCAGTTCAAATACAAGAGTGATAGCAATAATAAAGTATTAGAAGTAATGGAGAACATTAGGGAGCGAAGGTTCGAGATGATTCGAGAAGAATAATTCAGTAAGATAAATTTAGAAGGAGAAAGGTAGAGATTATGAGGAATGCAGAAGCTTAGAATTTCATAGAACACAAAGAGTGGATGCATCTGCGCCATTGCAAACGATTCCTAGCCATGTCGTTTAAGGTCTCTAACCATCGGTGACTATCGGTTCGCGGACCCCAACCAGGTCGCCTACATCTACCAACATCACTCAGTCCACTTGTCAGTGACTTCATGGATTTCCACCATGTTTTAGTTTGGCCGCCTCTAGCTTTCTTCCAACTTACTCCTACACTACAAAACATAGCTCGTCGCGTCAGTCGGTGGTTAGCCATACGCAGCACATGTCCCAACCAGCTCAATTGATGAAGTTTCACCACTTCATCTATTGATCTGCCATTCTTACCTAGTACCCGTTTCCTAATAACAGCGCTGCTCACTCGGGTGTCCCACGATATACGAGCAATGCTTCGAAGACACCTATAATCGAATACCAGTAACCTACGAATATCTTCTACTCTGACTGGCCTTGTTTCACAGCCATAAAGTAAGACGGAGCGTACTACCGCGCAGTACACTCGTCCTTTAGTCAGCAAACGGATATCTCGCCTACGCCATAAGTGACGCAGGTTGGCAAAAGCCAATCGAGCCTTCTATATTCGTGCTGAGATTTCGTCAGTCATCAGGCTGTCAGCACTGATTAGGCTCCCAAGATAAGTGAAGCGGTCAACACTCTCGACCACTTCACTCCCTATCACTAGTTCATGTGCCGATACAAGCCAATCTTGAAACAACATTTTGCATTTGGAGGGGGAAAACCACATCCCGAACATGCTTGCATTGTTGCTTAGAGTTGTCAGAAGACTGCATTTTGTCAGCGTCTTCACCAAGTAGGACTATGTCATCGGCATATTCTAAGTCAATAGGCGAGCCACCTGGTAGAAGGTCTACTCCTGGAAATTCAGACGAGGATAAGGTTATGTCTAGGAGCATGTCTATGATAAAATTAAACATGAATGGAGAAAGGGGACATTCCTGACGGACACCACTTGATGTAGAGAATTCCGCTGACAGTTCGCCATAAGGTCTCACCCGACCAGTGGTGTTCGAGTAGAGA